ATAAGTTAAACTTATAAACTTCTTCAATTCACAAAGAGGAATGTATATCCAAATGTGAAACGACTAGCTAAACAACAGAGTACCAAACAATCAAGAACTCATATATCAGCGACAGAACAGTATTTACGTAAGGTCTTCAGACGGAACAGGGACAAATAAAAAAAGCGCTGCTTATTTTAAAACTTATTTAAAAAATTGCTGCCCCGTAAACTTCAAACTATATTCGTACGCTCTAATACGTTACATAACGCATAATTTTTCAGAGAACAGATTTCTCGGCGGACCTTCCATCTCGATGCTCCTCTTGAGTGCCTCCAGTTACCCCTTAACGGGAGGAGTATATGGAAATACTAAAAATTACGGCGGCAGCGAAAAATTTTCCCATTTATCAGTTTGCGTTGTACATTATGCAACCACGGTTTTTTGTAGAGAAATTTCGCATCACGCGATAATTGGCGATGCATCCATTTGCAGAATTCATAACAGCAGCTACACCCGCGGCAAAAGCATTTATGCAGATTATGGTCAAGCACAATATACTACCAACTTTGTTAATCTGTCATATGTAATTTTCGCGCATTCCGTTTATCCTAACCAAAAAAATAAAAATGTTAATTTAATTACAAATTATGGCTTGCCAATCTTCTGTAGGTTGCCTGATCTACACAGCTCGGCTGCTGCGTCGGCCTATTTCAAGCAATCTATATGACAGGTCAAGCATCATTAGCTACACATGCCACATATTGCATGGATGCAAAACTGCATGACTGCGCAGGGCTGAACAAAAACCATTTTGGACACCCATCAAAATGTTACTATTCATAGGCATATTTATACATAAAACTAATCCCGATATTATTGATTTATTAGCAAGCTCTTAATTTTCTATACTTGCAACTGGATCAACTGCAGCGTCCCTTATCCTGCGAGGAATCGTGCCGGCCGCAAAACTTTGTGTTGTTATAGCACAAAACGTTTGGCCACCTGCTAGCAAGGCTGAAGGTGGCATGTCGAATTTCGTGCAGACGGGATCTCTCCAGTCTCATCTGGGTTTTTATGAAAATTTTCTCTTCTAGACGTCAGAAGACGAGCAGACGTCTAACCGCAAGGCAGCGGTGGCACTGAGGAACTTTTTCTTTGAAAAGGAGGGTTGCTTCCGCCTCGTCATGAAACATTTAGGCATTGTTACTTTTTCTGAGGAATTAACTTGTCGAACTCGAACCCAGTCACTGCTTCCTGTCGACGAGTGCATAATTTTTGCAGCTAACCTCTATATCTGGAGATCATTCACCTATCCGCATCGCGGAGACAGGCCAAATGGCCAGCAGCTAGGCACAACGATACTAGCAACTATGCGTGCAAAATCCGAAGAAATATCAAGAAACTGTCATTCCTACCGGCGGTATTGAAAACTAGCAGTCTGGTAGTAAACTCATAATACAGGGCATCCTTTTATGTAAATTGTTATATAGAAAGCATAAAATTGTTATGTATAGCATAATATTGTTATATAGAAAGCATAAGCTATTTTATTTAATAACCCGTAATTCCTACAGGACTAAATATCATAGTGTATTCACAGATCACTTGCTCATTGCTTGAGCGGTAGCCTAATTTCATATTAAACTAAGTTATATTTTTAGGTGATGATTTGGCATGATTGTGCTCGGCGTGTGGGAACATCGAAGAATCCATACTGAAACCCGATCAATTTTGGAATCAGAGTTGTTTTTAGACCGTAGTCGGTTATTTGGAAACTCTGATACGGTTTCGTAGCCGCAGATGCAAATTCTCTCTTGAAAACAGGAAGTAGGAGCATCGACCAGTGCAGCGTTATGTAGAAACTCCGTACGACGTAACGTAACTGTACAAAAAAATGTCGGCAGTACAATATAGACCTCATAAATGAGGAATGTTTTCGCTGCCGCCGAAATCTGTCTTCAGCGCACACGATGGCTCACTATAGCGCAACAGCAACACGTGGTAGTGCTCCATGGAAATTGCGGCGTCGTAGACCCCGGCGCCGGGCCAAGGGCATGCAATTACTACGTGGATGAGGATGCGTGTGGGCGGCGACCGACCACTCCTCCATTAGTGTTACTCTCGATGCTGGTGCGTCGTTTCTGTTCTACCAACCTCATTGACCTAATGATCAAGACATGATGAGCAGTTGCGAGGAACAAAACAATCGATGAAACCCAAGCTGCAGTTAAGAAAGCGACTCCGACCTCGCAACAGATTCAGACCTCGGGCGGGAACAGGGTGGAAATGTGATGCGAGGACCGATTTTACATGTTTTGAATTTCAAATCCGCAGGCGAAAAGCAACGACCGATACTTACAGCGGATTGCTTGAATTCCAGTAGATGTCCGGCAGCTCGACGGCGGACACAGAAGACAGGCAGGTGGCCAGGGAAGCCAAGAGCAACACGAAGACAACGGCGGTGACGGTCAGCCAATCCGTTTCACACAAGCTGTTCCTAAGCGACGACGAGATGCGCGAAACGTGGCGATGGCGACAACGGTCGGCTCTATGGAAAGCCATTCTTACC